TCAAGGGCATCGAAAATCAATGAAAAAATTACATGCCACCTATGCAGTCATTTTTTGCAGAGTATAGATGTTGCATGCAGCCCAAGAATCAGTTCTTTCGAAAGCCGACACCCTGAGGTAGCTCGATCATTATAGATTTATGCTGCATCATGATTAGTTTTACAGCATTACATAGTTTATATTTTCGAAAAGAGAACGCATTTCGAAATTTTGGTTGACATGTCATGAGATAGCACATCTACTGTATATTACTATAGCTGGCATACGTTTAGACGGATGCACGTGAATACGTTACATGCAGACATTCTAAAGGAATTAACTGTCTTGCATTCGGCCTATCAGTACGATATCACGCTGACCATAGCAGACAATACATGTTGATCATCCGATTCGACTGATTGGTCAGTTACCACTAAATCTCAATACTTGCGTTTTATTCCTAAACACAGTGGTTAATCAAAAACAACAGACGGCAAGACAGACGAAGACGTTATAGCAGGTTGCCAGTATTTTTCTTGTCGCACACATCGACTCCGTAAACAACATCTGTCATTTTGTCAAGCCAGTAAGTCCTTAGGTCAGTATGGTTTGAGGGTTATAGGCAATGTTAATTGAGTTCCCACTGTCAGCTTTTCGATACAGTCTTATCACTGAGTGCAGATTTCAACATACCCACCCATGTGCCTTCAGTTTGTTCGTACTGTGCCCTGTTTAGCGAATAGACCAGTTTATTTGCGGAATTCAGGTACGAACGCGACAATTCAACCGACAGCTAGGGGGAAAATGCTACCCGGACGGATAATGACCCAGTTTAGTAGGACAGCATGCGAATAATCATAGTCTGATATTTAATGTGCCGTTACAAACTATGCTTGTGTTGGCTAATTTAATGCTATATTAGGACAGAATGATCTCCCTCATACCACATAACTGAAATATTGAGCTTTCGTATCCACGTTTGTGCTACGCAGTCTGGTAAGCATCAAGACTGTCGGCCTGATTGTCGGACGCTGTCTGTAAAATATGTGCAACTGTGGGGCACAGTGTGTTGCACTGACAGTTGTACATTTATGAGTCCACATCGTAGCTCTGACCTCTTACTTCAGTTATGATCCACATTTCGATAGTTAAAGTGAAGAGTTTTAGTCACACAACAGGGGAAGTACATGCCTTCTAATCCTTCTAATCCTTTGATACCAGAAAATGGATTCTGGACACGCAAGAAGTACAAGACCAAGTCCCTTATTACCGAGCATTTGAGGTCACGAATGACGGGCATTGTCTATTTGAGTTAGTGAATTCGTGATGTTCATGTATTAACAGTTATCAAAGCAAAGGATAAAATTGCAAATTTCTAAAGTTCTGAGTGCTTCTTTCAGGGACCGATATTTCGCAATTTACGCATTATAAAAGGGTGCAAAGTTAGCGTAATTGGTGAAAGTTAAACTGTGAGAATTATGTATTTTAACACTTTCCGCCTGCCATAGCTATTAGTGAGAGGGACAGCGGTACATACCTGAAAATGAAAAAGTGCTCGTGTTCTGTAAATGCAAAGTAAGAAAGAAAAGGAGATAGAGGGTAAAGAATCATAACTGTGTTTGTCATATCTGTATGATAATATCATGATAAGCAACGCAGTTAGTTGTCTCAAAATTAAAATTCCTTAAGAGTCTAGGTACCGCTAAGACCGTGCACGGGAGGGCACGCCCTTTATTCTACCCCACTTATTGTGAGTAACACTATTCCTGTGTAGTCTACAATGCTCAAATAGTTATCAGCAGTCAGTAATGTTTTAATCTAGTTGAACCTCCCAAAATCACCTAATTTTCCCCCAATGCAATTCAAACACATCATCCTTATTTGAAATGCTTGTTTTACGCAAGTGGGCACTTAGACCGCCTTCGGAGTTTTAATTTGACGTGTGTGGACATCTCTACTGATAGCTAAACTGGGTAGGAATATCCAGTGTATGCTTTGCCGATGGAAATTCGCAAAATTAATTTTTAGAGAGCCCACACGTCTACACACTGTGCGACTGAATTGCGTGCATTTGGCAGCACTAGGAAGAATGTCTAGCCTTTTTTTTTTAAATTACAAACAAATAGAATAGGGGGTTGCACTGACGGTATTTTCGGACATGTGTTTTGCCCGACGACGCTCAACATATTCCTCCTATTGTGTAGTTAATATTTCAACCCTACTTACCTAGTCTTTTCTAAGCAAAAATCCACTTTAGAATTTCGGTTCACATTTCATGTGTAAGCACACCTACTGCACATGTTTATGTCATGGAAACACGTTTTATTCAATCTTGGAGTTGAATATTTCCCACAAATTAGCATAATATTCAGTATGGTTTCAAATCAAACGATAACTGATTACTTCGGACAAACTATTCATACATTATTTCGATTTTGATGTTAGAGAGTTATCCACATTAAGGTACTGCAGTTTAGCACTGTAGACTGGAAGTGCTGAAGTAATAACCAAAATTACAAACGGATTCCTTGAACTAGAACGAACTACGTGAATGCGCTTACATTCATTGCTGGCACACAACCTTCCTTAGTGAACTGCGCTGGTACACGGTACGTTTTCTGACAATACTCATTTTGCTGATGCAACCGAAACAGCGACTTTTATGAAAAAATATGAAAGCAAGGGACACGATCGACAGAACAGTCGATTTATATTTATGACGCTTCGGAGTCGATCTCAATACCAACTGAATGCGCCCAGGTAAAATCTCAGCTGTGAATACGGGATCAGAAAGTGATTGCGTTTGTTAACTGACAAATTGGCCGGGTGCCGCAGAATGAGTCGCGATCCGAGAGCTAAATACCCTTCGTCTCACTGTAGCAGCGTGCTCAGACATCCGCTTCTGTAGTAGTCTCCCAGCGTCTCGCGCGTAGTTGTTTTGATAAGACTGCACTAGGTTCTTTAAACCACTCTCTACGCTTACTGCCATGACAGCGGCTGTTTTGGCCTCATTACATGGTGCCAGATAGTGACAGCAGAAGGGGACTGCCGCTTTTCAAGACGTTCCTCGCGTATGGTAGCACCCTGCCTGTTATCTTCGGATCCAATGCATAAAACAGCCTCACAATTCCCTATGCTTTGCCATTGGTCGCAAAATCATCACAACTCCCTTGACCAGACATTTGAACTGAATGGTGATATGGTTGTTAACTTTTTGCAGGCTTGGTTCTCTAGTTCCTCTTGCGGCAGAGACATACCGTCCTTCGAAAACACCCGAGATAATTAAGCAGGATCATGACTTACTTTATTAAAATACATCGCAACCTTGTAATATGATTTACGCAGTCGATAACGTGGTCGTGCAGCAACATGGCAAAATGCACAACTCATGTTATAAAATACAGCCTGGACTATAGTTTCTTATTTAGATAGCGTATGTATTTGCCACCTTGTCAGAATGCAGTCTGTCAGTCTTCCAACTTCATCGTGAACAGCTTTGGATAAATTAGGGAAGATCATATTTGTCAGACGGAGTGTGCTTATTACTTTAACATCGTATAAATAAGTGGCGTAAGCTTAAGTTATCACGGTTTCCAATACGAAAACCAGGCAGTCCACTGTTTGGACACAAGGCGATCTGCTTTTATTTTGCCCATGATTCTAATGGAGAAAAGGCAACGTTTAGATTTATTTGTCCGACGGAATTGTACAAAATAACTAGGGTATGGAATGTAACCCATTAGTGTTTGCATAGATCCGTCGGAAGTGAACAGTTAAGAGGTATTCTTAGAAATTTATAGTCGAATTTGTAATCTTTCTTTTTACTCTGATGCGAATCTTTGGTAAGTTGGTAGAATAAGCGAACTGAATAATGTTTGCTTCACGCAGAATTTGCAACAGGCTACACGTCGTATTTGTGACCGCATCTGGTGACCCATTTAGAAGTGAACAAACTGCCCTTTGCTGTCAGATGATATCTACGTCAGTGGAAAAACTCGATTCAACCTGTTTTCGATAAAAATGGTCTGACTCCTTTGGCCCTTCGTGGTAAGGACAGCAGTATATTCCTGGAAATAAAAAAAATTCCCGTGTCCTGTCAGTGCAAATAAAGACGGAAATATAGGGAGATGGAGAAGAGTGTCTTTAATGCATTTGGAATATCCTGATTAGCAACGTAGTCAGTCTCCTCAAAATTAAAATTCTCCAAATATCAAAACTAGCGGTAATACTTTAATGCAAATGCTGTGTATAGGAATGCAGACCTTTATTTTTTAACACACTCGATTTTTATAAGGCAATCTAATGAATAGTATACAATGACGGAATAGCAATTGACGGTCACCAATTTTTAAACATGATTCAAATATGTCAGGAACGCATCTCACAAAATCAGGTTATTGATGTCAACCTCCCGACTTTGGATTTTAAACAAATCTTCTACAGTTCGACTACGCGCTACTTGCAAGTGGGAATCTAGTTCGAGTTCACAGTCTTGAATTAACATAAACCGACAACTCTACCGAAGGCCAAGTTGGGTAGGAATGATTGGTGTATAATTCGTCGATAGATATACGCAAAATCACTATTTGCGGAGTCCTGGCTCCTGCACTTTGTGCGACTGCACTATGTCAAGTTGGAACCCATTGAGCCTGGTCTCCAACTTCAATATTTTTAAGATATAAATGCCCAAACCTGGGCGCCTTATCAAACGTTTTCTACAGGTGACGTAAGCCACTTTTCGAGGACGATAAACCCGAAATCCACCGGCCTGTCTTAGAGGTGTATGATGCAATCCAAAGCTTTTAGAATTTCATTCAAGGTGTGGCGGTCAAGGATGTGAGATCGACTTAAACCACGCACAATAAGTTCGTTTCGTCAACTGCCAGATGTCAGGGAGCTGTGAGGACTAGTTTATTCTGTACACAGGGCAGGGTGCCGTAAGTTGGCTGTTTGCTTGCTACAGATAAAAGCGGCTGCTACAACCCCCCCCAGACACCAAACGAAGTGAAGGCGTCGACATGCTAGCCAGCCACAAACCTGTCGGGCCAATGGACGTGACGGCCAGATCGTGTGCGGCAAACCGGAGGGGGACTGTCGCCAGTAGGTGGAGGCACCACTGGTTGCGGCGGCGTACAGTGTTGGGGTGAGTAAAGGTCACTGTCGTCGATGTAGGCCGGCTTGACACGGTCAATGCTGACTGTGTCGGTCTTGCCGTTGCGGTGGATGACAACGTCTTTGTCAGATCGACGAAGGACTTTATAAGGCCCGTCATAGGGTGGTTGGAGTGGTCGTCGGACAGCGTCATGCCGAAACCAGACGAAATCGCACTTATCCAGGTCGGGAGGGATGAAGGTATTGGCCGGTGACGCCCGAGGGGGCGTTGCGCGGAGTTTGCGCAAGTGGGAATCTAGTTCGAGTTCACAGTTTTGAATTAACATAAACCGACAACTCTACCGAAGGCCAAGTTGGGTAGGAATGATTGGTGTATATTTCGTCGATGGATATACGCAAAATCACTATTTGCGGAGTCCTGGCTCCTGCATTTTGTGCGACTGCACTATGTCTAGTTGGAACCCATTGAGCTTGGTCTCCAGCTTCATTGTTTTCGAAATACAAATGCCCACAATTGGGCGCTCTATCAAACGTTATCTACAGGCGCCGTAAGCCACTTTTCGGGGACGATAAACCCGAAATCCACCGGTCTGTCTTGGACGCGTATTATGCAATCCAAAGCTTTTCGAATTTCACTCAAGGTAACCAGACTACGACAAAAGGTAAAACCGGCACAGTACATATATATACATATATATTATATTGAGAAACAGGAATCCCAATAAATATAATAAGAAAGGTGAATGTCTTTGGCAAACAGCAACATTTTATTGTGAATTTTCGCGACTGGTACCCCAACTCGTCGTCAGAAGCATTACCACAGAAATTAGAGAGCATAGCCCTTCCCACAGTCAACCCAAAACTTTGGCTGCGATACGTAGATGACACTTTTGTCATCGTCAATAAAGATCATTTGAATCTGCTCTATACCCATATTAACTCCATATTTTTAGAAATTACATTTACTTTGGAAACAGAGGTCGATGGACAACTCCCATTCCTGGATGTCCTTGTACGTCGAAAAACCGATGGATCACTTCAGACATCAGGTTATCGCAGAGAGGCGTATTCAGAGGTCATCCTACACTTTGAGAGTAACCACTCTGTCCCTCACACCATCCGGCGACTACCTTACGCACACAGCTTGTACACCCTACGGACAGGGTTGGCTATCTCTAACGAAAAGGTGTTGTCTACAAAATCCCATGTTCTATTTGTAATGCCGTTTATTGTGGCCAAACTCGGAAATCTGTCTCAATCCGTATACATGAGCATCAGTTAGCGGTGAAGAGACGCGACCATCTATCCCAGGTGGCCATGCACACACTGGACACTGGGCATTAATTCGCATGGGAAAACACTCGCATTGTTGGCGCCTGCCAAACAAGGAAAGGCCGCGAATTCCTGGAGGCAATGCACTCAGATGAGGCATGCATCAACCGGCATATCGATTTGGATGCCACATACAAAATCGTTAAGGACAGATTCAAACTGAGCCAACCAATCCCGAGATAACGGCCTTAACCAATCATGGAATCCTTTTGCCAGACTCAGTCTAAAAGATAATTGTTTTTGCACACCCGTTGAATGAAGACGAGCTGGGAAACCAGTCTCGAAAATTCACAATAAAATTTTGCCGTTTCCCAAAGAACTTCACCTTTCTAATTATATTTCTTGGGATGCCTGTTTTTCAATATATATATAATGGTAGATGGGCGCTCACCGATCGTTCATACGGAATTCACTCGTTCCGTTGTGCCTTAAGGGCTCTGTCTCGAGCCCAACCTGCAGCCGCACAGCGGCGCATGATATATAGGCAGAATGGCATTACCGACAAAGACAAGGGAGACTGGAATGGCCATTTCTGGCTTATTAGCCGTCGTCAGCCATCCATACCCAAGCCCGAATTGTGGAACACCCGAGCCTCGAACTCGCGACATGTTGGTTTAGAAGTCCAGGCCTCTACCAACCGGTAATACCATTCTGCCACCTAAACAGTGTTCTTCACCCCTAATATATCATAAGCGAAATGTCGTTTAAAGTGAAAAAGTAGAATTTCCGTGACCCCGATGACATCTCGGCAGACTACGTACAGGAAATGCTTATGCACGCAATTAACGATCGAAAAGCCTTACATACACTAGAATTGACACTGCTGTCTCGGGTCCCTTAACGGTTACTCCTAAGATGGACGCTCTCAACATCATGTCAGCAGTCCTATAAATATGTTCATGATCTCCCTTGAGTATCATACCTACTGCACTTTGCAGGCGGTAACATTGCTTTCTTATCCAAAAAGGCGTGTGCAGAAAACTTGAACTCTTAAGATACTCCGTGTTCTATTAACTAATCGTCGCTAGGGCAGACAGAAAGCGTGAACATACGTAATTCAGGCAATTACATTTTCAATAGTGATTGCGAACCATCGGGCTCCTGAAAAAAGTATCCAGAACTTTTGCCTTCAGGTCAGTTTAAGATGTTACCGTTTTCATTGATTACTGTGACTACTCAAATATCATAAATTTACCAACTCACGTAGCTACTGTTTATCGCTCGTGGCCTGAAGTGCTCGGCCACAGGAGACTGAATTATGGGCTTCTTGAGTTTTTAGAACTCATATTTAAGTGTCAAAGGATAAGAAGTAAAACCGTCTTGAACTTTTTCAACAAACGCTAAAGATAGTTTCTCTCTGTGCCGTGTGACTAAAACTCTCCTCTGTTTTATCAAAGGTGGATAATAATTGGATGAATAGATTAGAGCCATGCTGTAGACTCTTTGATGTTAGACGGACAAACGACAGACGGTGTCCCACACTACAAAATATTCTGCAGACAACGTCCGAAATTGAGGCTGACAGACACAAGCAGCATGCATATTATGTATGTTTATTAGACTTTGTCTGCCATGTGAATAAAATTCTTCTGTTGATCTGTCAAAATGTGGATCGAATCTGGATGAAGAGGTTACAGTCACGACACTGAGTCTTTGATGTTAGGCTGACAGTGCGACACACTATTTCCCACAGTCAAAAATTTTATGCATACAGCGTCTCAGAATGAGGCTTCTAATGGTTATCAGACTGCGTACCACACATGGGATGCAATAAGCTCAATAGTTCAGCTATGCGGCATGAAAGAGGTGTTATTATCTTAATCCGGCATCAAAGTAGACCGCATCTGCACATTACTTAAGGACACATTGGATGTTTGTTAACGCTTAATCGCGATCCACGTTTGGTACAGAGGAAACTGCCCTGCTATACTGGGCCATAATCCGTGTTGGTATGAAATTCCTCGCAAATTCTTGTCGGTGGGACAGATGGCTAACTCGCATCCAATGCCGGCTTGCAGTCATCCTGACCGACTTATTGAAAGCCAGTCAATACCTTTAGTAAAACCCCACATGACTTTTTATCAAGCATAACAATTTCTGAACTGAGCCCATCAGAGCAATTCTGCGGCCATTTAACTTCAAGCTCCTAACATGATGATTTCGTAATTATAAGATTACCGTCAGAGTAGAACGTTCACCAAATAGAAAGAACAGGAGAAAACTAGGGACCAACTCGTTGCTCAAATACTCGCCATTCCGCGACGCAGCCTAATGTTTTTTATGCATTACTAATCGTCTTTGGGGAAGAGCATTTACAGTGATCCGGTCATTGAATGCCCTCTTAGTATACGTAATTATATATTTTTTTGAAGATAATAGGTCCTTTGGGAACAGTCAGAACATTTTTGGAACATTTTTGACGTCGGTCTCAGGTGCTATCGTCCGACTTGAATAACTGCATAAAAACATTCAGACTTTTAAACTTGCCCAAAAAACATTACCATACCGGCTGCTCTACCAGAGAGCGTTCGCAGCATACCGTGTTGTCTATCGATTGGTTCTCGTCTCTGCCACTTCTCCTTTATATTTTTGTACATTATGTCCAACTTCATATGCTGATTAATGCATTTCTCATCTGAGTGTATAGTTCCAATAAATTCGCGATCTTTTTAATATGCAGACGGCGACGATGTGACTTTTCTCCCATGCAAATGCATGTGCGTTATCTAATGTGTGCATGTCCATTTAAGATAGGTAGTCTAGTCAATTGACTGCTAACTGATGTTTGATGATGCATGTGAAAGTGGACTTTCCAGATTCGACACAACGTACGGCATCGCACGCCTTGCATGGGATCTTGTAGACGACTTTCTTCCTCTGCAGATAACCAACCCCATCGGTTCCACTACAGCCCCCATGCACTGCGAATTACAACGCGGTTCCCTCTGTGGCCTTCCAGTTGGGATTGCGTCCTCCATATCCTCTCACTCCAACGTGTGGCTGTGTCGGGAGTAGTGTGTGCACTTAACCTCCACTCGCTTCCCTTTGTGGACTTCGAGATCTGCTTTCTCTCTCTTTCCTTTCCTATACGATCTATGATGACGCACGATCACCTGCTGCTTAGAATAATGCGACAAATTTATCAACTGACTTGCATCATGTTCAATACACGAAGCATGTTTAATACAGGGTGGGCGTTTTTCCATGGATTTCAGTGGCAATTGTGCAATGATGTTAAGACGTTTGCCGATAAAACGAAGGCTTCAACTTCTGTAATTGCATTCAATGACCCCTTGCCGTGTAACGATGTCAAGACTTCTTTACAGAAAATTGCTTTCTTGCTCAAGCAATCCCTAGTTAGATATTGTATTTCATTAACAAGTGTACATACCGCATTGTCGAAAACAATAAATGTCCACAACAAAGATCAGCAACGAATACGCTTTCGATTACTTAGAGAACTTTGTGAAACAAGTTGCTTTTTAAGGAGTGTTTACATAGAGCCTTATGTTGACGCGTGACTGTATACTTTACTATTTTGTATGGCGAAGCCAACAAGGAAATTGGCACTTCTGGAGGTTTTGTCGCGTTCCTAAATAATTCTAAATCATAAGACTAAGATGCGATCACTGGAACAAGAATTTTATTGGCCTGACGTTTCTGATTCTCACTCTAATCCATTATCAGAGATATTCGCAGATAAAGATCTCTACTTCCATTGATCGCATCTTCGTCTTCTGAACTGCTACCTGGGATTCGCTTGTTCGCTTCTATCAGCAATTCAAATTCTTTCAAACGTAATCGTTGGAACATTTTTTTCTTTAAACTGCGGCCCGTTTCATTAATTTTGCTCATTTTAAGGCTCCATTGTACAATTTTGAACGTTAGCCAGAGTGACCATATAAATACGCATATTTTGCTGAACTTATTAATGTTTTTGTCCGTTCCATTTCTATATTACTTATGTGCAGAAGCCAGAGCGCACATAATGTTA